AGCCCGAGCCCTTCAATTCCCGAAGGTGGAGAAGAATTTCTATCTTGAAGGGATATAAAACTTTTACTGTTAATATTTATAGTATGATAAACATGAGAATAATGCTATTTTCATAGTCTATAAAAAAATCACGTATTCCAAAATATAAAAGTTTACTGCTTTTTTTACAGGTGCATATTCAAATTGGATTATTTTCATTTAGGGATGTTTAATACCATTTTTCATTAATAAATATATAGGTGATATTTACTAGTAAAAAAAAAAAAAAAAAAACGATTCCCTCATACTTCATTGATTTCAATATTTGTTTTTCAACTATAAGTGTATTTTTTAACACGTCAATGTTTCGGAGGATCACAAGTTTATATATAAATAAAATATTAAAAAAATTATCCACACGATATCTTCTTTTTTTTATTATTTCTTAATGATGTTAAGAACTGTATTAAAGTAAGACATTTAGTAATTTTGAACATATGACTACATTAGGAGACCATATCATTTTCAGACACCTCGGAGGGTTATAAGAAATTGAAGAGGAAGTTTTTTTTTTTTTTTTTAATCTTTTTATTGAGAAATACTACATTTTGCTACATTTAAGGGCACTGAGTACTAAAGCTGAGTGAGGCCCATTCATACTATATATACAATGCAATAAAAAAAAAATAAATAAAAAATAAAAATATATATCTATATAACAAAGGTAAAAACTATAAAACTAATGAAATGTACCTTGAATTCAAATTAAAAAAAAAATAATAATAAAAAAAAATACAGAAATTGTTAGCAAATTAATAATTAATTAATAAGTCATAAGTAAAACAAATGGATATATAAAAAAGAGAAACATTCATACTTAAGTATAAAAAAGAAAAACATTCATACTTAATATATAAAAAAGAAAAACATTCATACTTAATATATAAAAAAGAAAAACATTCATACGTTATAAGAGGAAGTAAGGTTAGAAACGAGAGGGTTGGGATGATTCTGAAGTTTATTGTGGAAGGATATGGATTGGGACAGATCTGAAACATAAGAAACATTAAGGTCATCATGGATGGTATTATTTGTAACAAAATAGGGAACACTGAGGATTTTGGATTGTAAGGATTGGATACGAAAGGAATTCGATGGTTTAGTGGAGCCCCATAGCTCAACTCCGTAAGTCCAAATAGGCCTTATTATAGTCATGTATATGAGTCTTTTGTAATTAATTGGAAGTTTAGAGCGTTTGACAATTAAGTGGCGAAATAATCGGAAATGTCGATCGGTTTCTTGTCTTTTCAGTCTGGTATACACGATACATTTAACCATAATTTTACTTTGTTTATCTTGTCAATAAAGTAACTTAATTTGGCTTAGATTGGCGTTTACTTTTTATACACGTAGTTGATAAAGTTAAAATAAATAACCATATTATTATTTTTATAATATATTATTATTATTACTATGAGTATTATTATAAGTTTAATCGCATTAGTCATTAGTAAGAGAGAAATTTCTTTAAATATTATATATTATATAGAAAAAAAACATAATTCATCTAATGTGTAATGCCTCAAATCCAATAAAAAAAATCTAATATTGTATTAACATAATGTTCTGATTTGTCACGAGTGAGTACCAATTTCGTAAATTTAGTAAATTACTTTGTAAGTTCAATGAGGCTTGTCTAGCGTTATGGTGTTTTTTTTTATTGGTGTATTGTCAGAGTTGGTAGTGTACAAAGGAAAATATTTTTACGCAATTTGATGAAATTTATATGCGATCAAGTAACTAATAACTTTGAATTTGATTTTTCTAAATCAGATTAATGTTAGTGGAGGTTTGGTCCCTCAAATTTCCAACCAGCCAGACAAATTCGTTACGTGATTTGTAAAATGTTAAAATCAGGCGGAAATGTTCGATTCTTTCGAACAATACTTGAATTAGCATTTTCAAATGTATTACAATTAACAGTGATTGTACTAAATTTTAATGAGATTAGCTGAATTTTAAACGAACCTGGGCAAGGGAAATGATTTAGCAAGGAATCGATAGACTACCCCTAATGGCTTTGCTTTCAACTGTATTTTGTTTCCTTGTTCCCTGTCACAACTCTGACAGGCAAGTTTTATATAGTCCCACTGACTCCAGAAAAAAATAATATATATAAGCCATTTTCCACAAGCCTCCAGGACCGTAAATATGTTTCGGTGGTAGAAATACGCAGTTGCTATTAATTCTGATTTATCACGTCGTATTATATAACATTAGGACATTTTTTTTACATAACAAGTAATAAACTAAGTATAAATTTATATATATAAACTGGATATAAATATAAATGTTAGAAATGAAAAAAAGAAAATCCAAATTATAAAGTCATGAGTCCTGTATGTACAGGACAACAGTTAATCCACCAACGTTACGCCAATTTAGGCATCATCAAGACAGAGAAAAATAAGATTATGTATCTGCAGAAACAAAGAAAGAAAAAAAAGAAAGAAAGAGAGAAAAAAAATTACTATTGATATCTCTCACCATGCCATCCAAATACATAGGGAAGGAAACAAAAGGTTCCATTAAAACAATGGAGGAAAGTTATATTCAACAGCTGATTAGCATAGACAATATAAAAAAAAAAAAAAAAAAAAAAAAAACCTACCTAAATACCTCTCTCTCTTTTTTTTAGGTAATAGCTTATGTTAGTTAATATAATATTAACTAGCTTTACCCGGCCACGCGCTGCTGTGGCTTAGCCTGGCAAAATGAAAAAGAAAGAAAATAGAAAGCACACATGAGTAGAATAATAGGAAAGTACATCTGTCAAGTTTCGTTAAAATCGGTAAACCCGTTTTAGCGCTACAGTTTACAGCGACACATTTTTTTGCCTCTTCGAACAGAAAAACATTTACATTTTTTTTTTTTTACATATATAAAATTATCGTAAGACAGAAGTACTATGCCAGAAACCTTCCCAAGAGTATACGGAACTTCCCAAAGTTTCATAGCGATCGGATGAATGGTTTACTAATGCACAAAGGACAAACAGACAGACAGACATACATTCATTTATATATATATATATATATATATATATATATATATATATATATATACATGTGTGTGTGTGTATATATATACACATATATGTGTATTAAAACCGTGTTTCCACTCAATTTTGTAGGGTATGGATGTTAGATACATCTTCGAGCTATTTCTGTTGTATTAAAACAATTTAATTTCACTATCTAATGTATAGTAAGGGAAAATATTACGATAGTGAAAATTTTTGAATCTGAGTTTCAACGAAAACACACTTTTAGAGGTTTTCTGAGTCTAAATAACAAAGTCCCACAAAATGGCGTGTGTGTGATTAATTTAGTTCAAAAACGAATTGTACGAAACTAATATTACAGATATAAGATGGGTATATGCCTTAGATATGACAGAAACTTTTTCGTTAAAATCGACTTACATGGTTGGCAGTTTAAAAACAGTTATAAACATTTTTACAATTTTCTCAAAAACGGATCTAACGATTTTGATTAAATTTGGTGTATCATTGTATAATTAAGTTTCCTTTAGTATCAATCCGGTCTTGATGCCACTTTGCAGGGCTTCAATGCCCAATGTTTATATACATGCTTCTATACAACTAAAAAAAAAGAAATATTATTCACTCATGATCTCCGAGCCAAGCCTCACCACTCATGAACGGAAATGCAAGACTCCAGGAGATCCCAGCGCCCCTCGTTCAGCTGCATTACTGGTAATGGAAACCAGTAGAGGCTGAGAAAAGGCGCTTTTCTATAGAAAAATAGATAGCTTTTAAATATGATTTTCAGCTTGACATAATAAAAACAAATGGTATATAGGATTATTGTGTTTTACCATATGTGTTTTTTATATAAAGTAAAGTATTCTTAAAACTTATTATAAAATAATAGCTAAGGTGGCAAGTGAACGTTGTGTGATGAGCGCCCGCATCAGATCTTATCCTTTAAATCGATTATATTTCAGAATCAGTCATGTTAATTTATCAATCCAATTACTTGACGGCTGGTTAGGAGCTTGCTGCAAATAATTTAGCAGATTATAGCTAACCCGTCCTAATCTTAATAAAATCCCCAGAGTTTAACTAAGATTTTGGTAACAAACTGCCAAGTTGCTAAAGACGCTGTGGAACTGGTGGTACTGGTATTGCTACTGGCACTGGTACCAGAGAAGCCAGAACGATAAGAAGAAGTTGGCGTCCTGATCCAGGATTAGCCTTAATTTAGAGTCAGTCACAGTTGGCTAGCCGCTCCAATTGCAGCTAAACCTTCTCAGTTCAATTGTCAGCTTTAATTCTACCAGCGGAACTCCACTTAGACTCACTGTAGGAAAACTTTAATAATCACTTTATATACCATTATTGTAAACATCAACTTGTAATATAATGCTTTATGTACAATCTTAATAGATTCGTTATAGTGAAAAATAATATACAGACTATATATATAATATATATATATATATATATATATATATATATATATATATATATATATATATGTATTTAACAATTGACCGTTACATTATAAAGTAAGGAGATGGTCCGAGGTGGCGGTCATAAATATGCTAAATACTGGTAAAACTGAGAGAGAAACACTTCATTTTCATAAAATATAAAGGATTGTTGCCCAATAATATTGGGTTGCTATATACACAGCATACTCTTCTATCCTTAAGACAATATATGAACTTATATATAAATATACAGAAGTATTCGTTAATATTAGTAAAATAGAAATATATACATTTTTATTAATTTATTTATTCTTATAATTTTTTGTTTTCCTTTTTCCTTCTTCTCATTCTTCATGCTTTTTTTTTTTTTTTAATTTAACATTAAGTTTTCCTTTCTCTCACTTCTCTCTCTTTATCTCTATTGTTTTCAATTATTCACTAAATAAATAAATAAACAAATACATAAATTAAAACTCTCGGGCTAGCCATGCACGTGGTGGTGAATGATTCCCAGGGAGTCGAGGACTATATTTTCAGCCAACCTCGCTACGTCCTTAATGTCGACACCTAGTTCCTCGAGGAAGCTCCTTGTTCTTTTTGGGATAGTTCCGCGAGACCCAAACCAGAGGCCTCTCACGGTGAACTCTCTCTCTCTCCGAAGGTCTCACGGAATTTCTCTTTTAGGAAAGGGATACATTTATCGTACGTGTTCTTCTTTTCCCTTTCCACTTCACCAGCCTGATCGAGGTAATTGCTCTCAAAGCGGACAGTTGGATCCAAGATCAGCGCTGTCCTTCCTGTCTTGGGAAAGGCGACGATATCAGCGTATCTCGTAGAGCAATAGCACTATCTGCTCGTCAAAGCAGGTGATTTTTTTTTCTCAGGCAACGTTTTTACGTTTCGACCCGACTTTTTAGGTATTCTTCAGGGCTAGAAGGGACAAGATACAAACATATAGAGAGTATAGAGAGTTGTGGAAGTTACATAATATTTAGACAAAAAAATATAAACAATGTGATAAGCTTATTAAAATTATAAACAGTAAGTGCATTTATATTTTAATGTACAATTATATTTTTGTTTATAATTTTAATAAGCTTACTCACATTGTTTATCTAAATATTATGTAACTTTCACAATTCTCTATATTTTTGTATCTTGTCCGTTCTAGCCCTGAAGAAGAACTGCAAAGTCGGGTCGAAACGTTGGCTTTTAATAAAACAGTTTTACCAGTATATACCCTATTTATGACCGCCACCCCGGACCATAGCCTTCCTATATATATTTTTTCTCTTTAACTATGTATCCGCACCTGTATTGACAATCAGCAGATGTATTGTGATGATAAGGAATGAGGAAGGATCGTACACAACAGAGCCTCTTCCTGGTCATTATTTACTTCCTTGATTCAGTTGACAAGATATCTCATCCTTTCAAGTCTCCTCCTGATGGGCACGTCAGTCGTGGCCATTTAGCTTACAAGTCTGTTTGTGTGTCCGTGTAGTTTGAGATGAAAACGAGAGTAGAGAGTATGTATGTGTTGGTCAATAGTTAGTTGTCGTAATTCGTTATGTAAAGTTTTGTTGTTGACGTACCAAGGAGCTCCTGTTATGAGTAGTAATATTTTTGATTGAAATGACCGTAGTTTTTGTAAGTACGTCTTTTTTGCCGAAAATTAAATCTGAGAGGCTTGTGTTCAAATGGGTTTGAGTAGGTAAGTGTATGTACTTAGTTTTTGTCGAATTTTCTATTTCGATTTAGAAAAAGTGAGTACAGTATTTTCTGTCGCTTGTTATGAGTCTGTCGTTTCATTTTGACGTGTGAGACCCAGGTCATCCTTCTATACTAATATTCTTAAAACTAAAAATATCGTTAACGCTTCATTGCTGTATGTTTTCGATCCAAGAGAGGAATCCATATCGTGTCATTGTCTTTACTTCTTGACGGATTTATAATAGAGTATTTTAGGTAGAGTATTTTCCAGCCGCATCCCTCCCTAGATTTTATTTATATTTAAGCGAGTGGATTTCTTCTGAGCAGCCTAACGTTATTATCGGATATGTTAATACATCTTTTTTTTAAATATATTTTTTATTTAATTATAACATTTTTTTCTTAATGTCAAATTAAACACTAACATTTATCTTCTATAACTGATGATAAAGCTCTTCATATGATGTATTTACATTTTATCCAGCATTTATATAATTAGTTTTATATTGACAGATGCAACTTTCACTTTTCTAAATAAAATGTACGAGTATTTTTATGATAAGAATTTATTTTATTTTATCTCCTTTTTGCTCTTCAGTTCTTAAAGTGTATATTTATGCTGTTCTACCATTATATATAGTTTTATATGTTTTGTTCACTTAAGGTTTTCTTTACTTTTCATTTAATTTATTGTTTTAAGTTTTTAAGCTTAGTAGTTTAAGTAGTCTTCTCTTTTTGTATAATTCTGTTATTCTAAAAGGGAATAAAGTTGTCTTTTTATCTATCTATATTACACTTGCAATCGGTAAATAATCTTTTATAAACTTCGAGAGTCAAAATCATGAACGAAGTATTTATTCTCACATGAGACTTATTTTGAAATTATACTAATGTACCTTGGGCCGGCCCCCCAAGTACAATGATATGACTTCATTTTTTTTAACAAAGTCCTAAAGTATTTTGCTTAGAAACTGCTTTCAAAAGGACCTAGAGAGATTATTAAACATCAATAGACTAATAATTTTGAGTCTGTTTATGTACTTTTGTTATTCAAAATTACTATATAAAATAAAGAACAATTACTTTCCCAACTCTAAAACAATCTTATCAATATTATCGAAAAAATGGAGCGGATCAGAGGCACCAAAATTAACTTAAAAGTGTTCTGGCAGTGCAGCATACTCCATTTTGCCCGAAATCCTGAATTTCTCACAAAGGGATTTCTTATTCTTAGGGTGGTCCGAAGTAGACTGTGGCCCAAACTACACGTATTTCCCCTATATATAGCAGGCTTATTATGAAAAATCTTTAGGTAACATTTTAAAAATCGCCCTAAATTGTGAGAGTAATTAATTAAGTTTTAAGTAGAATAAAACAAATTTGACAATCAATAACGATTTCACAATTAAATAACTATTTTTATGTTTAAATTTTACTTCTATGTACGATCAACTTAAACTTTGACCTTTTGTTTTTATTCAAATTGTACTTCTATATATGTATATGAATATATTTATAATTTATTAGTTCATATATATATATATATGAATATGTATAGGATCAGTGCCTGGGCAAGTCTGAATAATTTAAATCTAAATGCGATGAAAACTCAGGCCATTATTATAGGTTCCAGTCCTATTCTTAAATCCATCTCCTTCCTTCCTCCTTTAGTCATCAACGATCATCCTGTCACATTCAGTTCATCCGTTAAAAACCTAGGAATCACCATAGACGAAAACCTCTCCTGGAAACCCCATATTGCCCTCATCTCCCGTAAGTCAATAGGTACCCTTAAGCTATTTCATCGCTCCCGCCACCTACTCCCACAACCCATCCGCAAGCTCCTTGTATCCTCTCTCATTTTCCCCCACTTTGACTACGGCTGTGTGGTGTACGGAGGCATCCCGATGGTACTCGAGGATAGATTGAAGCGACTCATGAATACGTGCTTAAGATTTGTCTTCGGTACATCAAAGCGATCTCATGTGTCCCACCTTTACGACGAGTTAAAGTGGCTCTTCCCTTCTTTCCGCAGACAATATTTCCTCGGATCTTTCCTATTCCAAACAATCAACACTAGACACCCTTCTTACATCTACAGTCTCCTACAGTTTAAACCCGTGGTCCACTCCCAGAAAACAAGATCCCGTGTTTCCGACCTTTATATCCCTTCCCATAGAACTAAGACGTTTGAATATTCCTTTATTTCCCGATCCACAGCCTTCTGGAATTCCTTGCCATCAGAAATCCGTCATGCCTCTTCCTTGTCCTCATTTAAATATCATCTTTACCAATTCCTTCTCACATCCCAAAATGACGTTATACAATAAAATAAATATTGTGAAACAGATTTTGACTGAGGTGAATGATTGATAAAATTTATTGTCTTAATTTTAAAAATCAACCCATGCTTATTTTATTTTATTTTTATCTTCATTTAAATAATGTTGTTTTTTTTTTATTTCGTTTTTTCTCAAAATTTTATTTTATTTTTACTTGTTTTAATTTAATTTCACTGAAGATACTGTATATATTCTTTAATATTGATTAATGTAATTTTTGGCCAGATGTAGTTTTAATTTTTTTGTTCATATCTATTATTCATAAGGGACCTTGTCCCAGAATAAAGTTTACTTTCTATCTATCTATCTATATATATATATATATATATATATATATATATATATATATATATATATATATATATATATATATATATATATATATATACATATATATATATATATATATATGGTATTTTCCCATGTATCTATCCACATCTTCAAATTTTAGATACTTTAATATATTCCAGGTTTTGTTTTACTTTTACTACTTACCCCCTCACCATTCCCCAACTAGGACAGCAAATTTCTTTAAGTGTATTTACCTAGGTTTTCCAGTTCTAAGTGAAGCTTCTTGTTGGACACACCTGTAAGTCTATATTTTTATTATTCTAATATTATTTACTTGTTTATTTTTATTTTTCAATTTCTTTCCCCACATTATTTCATATTAAATTCTTTTTCCTTTTATTCCGATCTCTGCTGTAGATCTGTAGGAGTATATTCATAATTGCATATATTGTATTATGATTATACTACAACAATTGTTATCATCTATTTACTTCAGTCTAGGTCCTTGTTACTTAGCTTATTCTGTTTATATAACTTAATGCTCTTAATATTTTAATGCACATACTGTTTATAATTTTAGTAAGTTTATTCACATGATTTATAATTTTTTATTTAAATATTATGTAACTTCCACAATTCTCTATATCTTTTGTACCTTGTCCGTTCTAGGTCTGAAGAAGACCTGCAAAGTCTGGTCGAAACGTTGGCTTTTAATAAAATAGTTTTGCCACTATTTAGTCAATGACCGACACCCCGAACCATCTCCGTCCTTAATAATACAACGGTCAACTATTAATTACTCAGTAAATAACCATTATATACTTATAGTATATAACTATTAGTAGTAAGAAAAAAATAAGTTAAATTGGGGCATAAGTAAAGAAACTCTGAGAAGTAAACAGTTTGAGAAACAGATGGTCAACGAAATCTTATGCCGGAGAAAATAACAAGAACAAGAATATAGCCCCAAGGAAACGAGGTCGCCTTAGGACAAATAAACCTACGAATCCCGACCTTCCATTTTTGTTAGTATTCCTCCGCCCTAATATTTATCTTCCTGTTTTTATTTTTAAATTATTTTAAATATTATTAATAAAATTATATCTATTTAATTGATCACCTAATAAATATAAAGTTAGGTTGTATTTGTAGAGCTGGCCAATTTTGTATACAGAGAAAAATGTGAGGCACGTTCATTCAGTTCACTAAATCTGATTTTAATAATTTAAGACGAAAATATAAGAATAATAAATAATAGACCAGAGTCAGTCAAAACACATCCCAACCAACAAAAATGTACCTTAATGATGGCTAACGGATGTCTTGAACAAGATATGGGATGTCTAAAATACTAAAAGACTTATCTTTAAGATATCTAAAAAACGGTAAAAAAATATCTTTAAGATTCTAAAAAATGGCATATAGACAACCAAATATAACTTCATCGAAAAGGCACCTAAAAGATATCTGCAATATCTCCAAAAAATATCCTTTTGATATCCTAC